TCCTTGTTAAGATGATGTCGGCCCACTCCATTTATTTACAATTGTACAATAGGACCGAGTCTTCCCAAACTTTCCCATGAATAATATTCTTTAACGCAACTTCATTGCAACTATAATTTGGACCACGACAGATAAGGAGTATGCAACTGTAGAACAAAGACTGTTTTGTATGCGGGATATTAGATGCCTTTGGGAGGGAAAAAAAATCAGCTTCAGAGGATCACTGAACTTTTCAGATTAAAAAAAACCTACTGATTTATTTAACTACCTGGATTAATCATCTTCAGCTGCAGTGCTTGGGCTGATATGCAATTTGAAATACAGTTAACCTTTGTACTGTAAATGTTTTTGCAAATGGGCACAGCAGCACAGTACGGTCTTGGTATACAAAAACACCCAAGTTTCAATCCCAACATTTATACACCAACTACTGTCTACAAGGAGACCTTTCAAAGAGTTTTCCTTAGTCCTTGAAAGCTCAGTATAGATGGTGTAAAATGGTCCAATGGCATACCTCCACGTACTGTATTTATTTAGTTTTAAAATGTATTAGGGTAACTCCGTATGGCTTTTTTTTTCACATGCTCCCCACCACCACTATAGATTATTCAGAAAATAATCTGTTAATTCAAATAGCTGCACACAACCTTTCTGTAAAGTGTAAGTAGGGTTTGCAAAGTGTTAAAAAGTACCAACAGAATCAAAAAGTGTAATTTCTTTTAAAATAGGTCAAAACCTTTTGGAGGGGAAAATAACATGACATTACAAACACATGCTAACAAGAAAAGGAGGTCACATGCATTGTAACTGTTTGAGGATATCTGTCTGTTTAGATCTATCTATCTATCTATCTATCTGATTATCTATCTATCTATCTATCTATCTATCTATCTATCTATCTATCTATCTATCTATCTATGATTATCTATCTATGATTATCTATCTATGATTATCTATCTATCTTATCATTATCTATATCTATCTCTATCTATCGATCTATATGATTATCTATCTATCTATGATTATCTCTACCTATCTATCTATCTATCTATCTATCTATCTATCTATCTATCTATCTATCTATCTATCTATCATCTATGATTATTTATATATAGCTAGCCATCTATCTATCTATCTATCTATCTATCTCAGGAAGAGGAGGAGGAGGAGGAGGAGGAGGAGGAGGAGGAGGAGGAGGAGGAAAAAATTATGGAGGCCTTTGTGCTCTTTGAGCTTGGTTGTTTTCTTGCAGACATTTTCTTGCCAAAGTAGATAACATCATCAGTGCCAGTAAGCAGTGGGGTTTGCTCTCATTTTATTTTCTAGTGGCTACTGCCTACTAGCCCGGACGATGTTACCTAGTTTGGCAATGAAACATCTGCAAGAAAACAACCAAGCTCAGAGAGCACCAAGGACCCCACAGTCCCACCCTGAGCTACAAAAGCTTCTTCTCTATGGGTAAGACATTTGTACATGAGCAAACCACCATCACTGTTACAACCTCCCAAGGCCGAACAATCCCAGATCCGAGAGGCCCACAAGTCGAGCGAAGAAACCTTGCCCACCTTGAATCGAATGATGTACGCAGCCACAAGCACGCCGATACTTTGCACCAAGTCTCCCAGGGCGTGGACGAACGCAGCTCTCACAGCCAAGCTGCCGTGGCCCTGACTCTGAGAGTGGCCAGGGGCTGCTGCGGAAGAGCCGGGCGGAGGAAGAGGTGAAGGCGCGTGCGAATGGGAGTGTAGGTGACCAGACTGGCTCAACAGAAAGCCCATTCTGAAATGAAAAGCAGAGGAGAAGAAAGATGCTTTAAGCAGGAAAAGGGCCACTTCGCTTTGGAAACGCTGATGGGGAAAACAACGTCGGTTACAGGATTTTGATTTTTTTTAGTAAGGCTATGCAGTGCACGGAACGCTGTTACCTTCTGTTGTGTTCTTTGTATTCCCCCCCCCCTTAATCCCCTATGCATATCCTGATCACCCATTAAGGGTGATTGCCTTTCACCATTGATCGCCCATTAAGGGTGATTGCCCTTCACCATTGATCGCCCATTAAGGGTGATTGCCCTTCTCCATCTGCATACAGTTTCATGCCCGTTGCTGGTTGGCTAACTAGCAACAG